CCACCTACTGGTTTCTGTGTGTAAGTGCAAGCTCGGATTTCCTGTCTGAAGAAAAGCTCGCTGATACAGGTATGTACAGTAGGAAATACTCCTCACTTGTATCCCATCACTTCACAACACGTTTGCGGTTGTTTTTAGGTCTCGTTTAACTTAAAGGAGAAGATGTTCATTTTTTGGCAATCAGTTCTGCACACAGTAACCTCAATGTCAAGAATCTACCTGTATGAACTTCCCTTGGCTGTTGGACAGGGGCATTTTCAGGGTTTTTGAAATGAAAAGTGGACAAGTGGAGACAAAACAAGAAGTGGCAGACCTAAAAAGGACAAACAGTGTGAAAGTCATGTTATTAATAAACAGGAAATTATTCAGCAAAAACCTGACCCGGGACCTGATCCTTATGTTGGTCTCAGTGGAAGGCTGGCTGTCACAAGGCCATTCTTTAAGAAGGGAAAAGTCTGAGGTATGCTAAATTACACAAACCTGACTAATATCATACAAAGTAACAGGTTATATGTTATTACTGATTTGTAAATATTATCATCTGGTTGTTACGCTGTTTTATTGATAACAATAACTCTAAAGTGTGTAAATGATGGTCTTTAAAGTGGAGTGGTTTGTGTCCACATGAGGAGTTCCAGAGAGAGAGAGAGAGAGAGCCGAGAGGCTATAGCTGGGACACCAAGACAATTCTAAGAAAGGGGAGAAGAGAAACTGGTAAGTACAAAGAGTAATTTAGCATGACACTACAAGTCTGTATGCTAGCTGTTGATGAGGTAACGCAGAGCAGATATGCCAGTTATGTCAGCTCATGCTCCAGCAGTGCAGCTTGGAGGCCGTGTCTCACAGGAACACTAAGCCTGTCACTCACACACATCAGCACACAACAGGGTGATGGGGGAGAGTGAGAAAAGGGATGGTAAATCACACTGGTGGGATCGCAAAAAAAAAATCTTATTATTAAGTTGGTTTTTCCCTTGAATCTTTGATTGATTGGTGCCTAAGATACATTTCCCAAAACAATTCATATATGCAGCAAAATACTACAGATAATTGGATACTATGGATACCTTTAACAGTGTCTAAAACAGAGTGGTCAAAATGTTCGGTACCGTCAGAATCACAAAGTGAATATTTCTCCATGGGAGACGTAACCTCTGCTTTTGTCAAATGCTGATTTCAGGGTTTTGCATTCTACTACTGGCATGAATTATCTGCAGAGGACCCAAGGGCAGAACAAAAAGAACAGATTCAAACAAACAAAAAAAGACCATTTATTTGGGTAAACAAAGTAGTACACTTTACAAAAAAGCAAAAAATCAAAAATGAAAATCTTCCCATCACTGAACGGAACAAAGCATATGGACCATCTGTACTACAACTATGGAAATAAAGCATAGGCTGTGTACAATAATACACCGCTCACAAAAATGAAAGGAACACTTTTTAATCAGAGTATAGCATCAAGTCAGTTAAACTCCTGGGATCTTGGTTAGTTAGGTAGCAGATGGGGTTGTTAGTCAGTTTCAGCTGATTTGGTGAAATTAACAACAGGGTCAGGCTAGAGAATCTTTTCCCCTCGTAGTCTTTTATCTGACTGTTTTTCACTTGTTTTGCATTTGGCCAGGTTCTGTGTCACTACTGGTAACATGAAGCCATACCTGGACCCTACAGAGGTTGCACTGGCAATCCAAATCCAGATGGCTTGGTGTGTCTCCTAGTACGGTGTCAATGCATGGAGGAGATTCCAGGAGACAAAAAGTTACCCCAGATGCTACCCAGTTACTAATCAGCAGGACCAGTATCTGCTCCTTTGTGGAACTGCCAGCGCTGCAAAATGACCTCCAGCAGGCCACTGGCATGAATGTCTTTCTCCAAACAATTAGAGACAGGTTTCATGGTGGTGGCCTGAGGGTCTGATATCCTGTAGTGGGACCCGTGTTCACTGCCTGGCACCATGGAGCTCAGTTGTCATTTGCCATAGAATAGCAGAGCTGACTGGCGCCTGGTGCTCTGTGCTTTTTGCAGATGAGAACACATTCCAACCATGAATACATGTGACAGATATGAAAGAGTCTGCAGAACTTGTGGAAAACATTTTGCTGCTGTTACATTCAGCTTGACAAGTTTGGTGGTGAAGGGATGTGCAGACCTTTTCCGGCTAGGCAATGGCACCCTGACTGTCATGAGGTGAAGGGTTTAAAATCCTTGGACCCACTGTCAGACCTGGTGCAGTGGGTCTTGGGTTCCTTCTGGTGCACGGCATTGCCCAGAGTATGCAGGCAGTTCTTGAAGGATCTGGAACTGATCTAGGAACTGATACTACTTACTGGTTCCCAAGCTTGTCTGAACTAAATCCATTAGAACACCTCTGGGATATTATGTCTCGGTCCATCTGATGCTGCCAGGTTGCCCCTCAGATTGTCCAGATCTGGAAGGAGTTCCCCAAGTACACCACCACAAACTAAACACACTCTCACTCACTGAAGCACAATTTGCACAATAATTAGATGCAGAACATTGACCACAGATGCCAAAAGTTGAAGCGATAGAAGCCAGAACCCACAAAAACAGAGAGAGACTTAAATTCAACACTAATATGTAGAAACAATATGTGAGACATGTCTGCTTTATATTTTGGTAATCATTGTAATATTGTGAAACAACCACTTGAGATTAAAGGTCCAAGTTGCAGTTCCTGCACCAGTTGTTTTCAATTTTTTGATGTGGTGTGCTCTGAATGCCCAGTATGTTCTTCATTTGATTGCATGCATGATCAGATAAAACGATGTGGTTTGAAGCACATCAAAACACAGCTGTTTTGATGTGTTTGTGAGATTTTGCAAGAGTGTTTTTGTAAATGTAGGGTGGAAACTTTCAAGAGAAGCAATGGGCTGTGACCTGCCCAGCCTGTCCAGTCCTAAATGGATGGATTCAAAAAACGTTTCTTAGCAATTGCTGAAAATTGTAAATGACTGTTTTCAAACTCAATTTAGCTGGGGCATGGTGCATATTCTGCAGTATGCCTTTGCAGACACCAGGTGGCAAACAAGACAACACAATGAGTTTTTAGGGCTTCTTGCATGGTTCTGGGTTTTCAGTAAGTAGTCTCTGAAATGCTCATACATTGGACGTGGTGTAAATTGTCTGTAAGTGTGTGTCTGAATTTGTACACCCTATAAAAAGCACAAAAGAATTGTTTATGTTATAACCGTACTACTTTTTCTTACTTAGTTGGCTAAGAAAAGTTCGTAATAATTTTATTTTTTGATTTTAAGTGACACCCTCTAAGGCAGAGGTGTCAAACATAAGGTCTGGGAGTCCAAAGTTGGCCCACAAAGACTCTAGTCTAGCCCACTGGATGGCTTTTCCAAAAATGTGATAAAGTGCATAAAATTTCAGACTTATTGCTGTATTTCCACAAGTTTTACAGCTGGTCCTACTGATAAAGATTACCATCACTACCATTGCCATTCATGTTGTCTGTACCTCAGACAACTGGACGTAGCACTATAAGCTTTATTTATTTCCTTGTTTTTAGCATTTTGCCTAATCGTACAGCCCATCCAAGAAGCAGATGTGGATTGTCAGGTGATCATACAGGTATATACCTAGAAACAAAGGGTGCAAAACCAAGAGTGCTAACTCCTTATTGTTCCATCTAATATCTCATCTCATTCAAATGTGACTTCCAAAAAAACAGACAAAGAAAAAAACGAAGAAAAAAAAAGATCTATATACAGTATATAGAAGTGTGAACCTAACATACTGAATCATTACCTGATGTGTCGGAATTTTATGTTTTCCTTTACATAACGATATTTCCATTACGAATAAATGCAGAAAAGTCACATATTTGTTAAGAAAACTTTACAAGAATTCAGGAAGTAAGTTAAAAGTTTCCCAGGGAAGTCCTCCAGATCCCCTCACTTAATGTGTCCTCCTCGAAAACCTCAAATTAAACCTACAAACTATTTAAGAAAACATGTTTCCCACTTTGTTTGTTTTTTTTAAATGACACCACATGTCTTTTCAGTGTTGTGAAACAGATAGAGTTACATCCGGATTAAAAATGCTCTATTTGTCTTTTCTTTAATACGAGCCAGATGTTACCTCCAGCCCCGGCCTGCTGTCACTCACCCCGCCTTTGACCAATCACAGTGGGCATAAACTCCTCCTTCCCTCCCCGTGGAGTTTGCGGGGGCTCGGTGGAGAGGAGGAGTGAGTAAAGATCTCTTTCTGAGTCCAGCTGTGCTTCTCTCCTGCTGCTCCCTCTCATAGCGCAGCGCTGCTCGATCACTCAGGCTGTGCAATGGAGAGATGGGCGATGCTGGCCGCGTGCGTGTTGCTGTGCTGCAGCTGCACTATGGTTACTGCCATCCAGAGGGCTGACATGTTTCCTTACGGCACTTTAAATGGAGATTCGGTGTTGAGAGAGGGCGACGATGAGACGTCCAAAGTGCTGTCCCTTCCCAGACCCTTGTACTTCTTCAACTCCCCTTTCTCCCAGCTATATGTAAGTACGACTTCATTACTATTCATTTGCACTCAGTCGAGGTTGTCTATTTTGTGAGCACCTAAAAAGATTCGCTGAAGTTCCCGCTTCACGTGTCTCAGGTGATATTTGCAGCTGTTGAATAATCTGCGCAGGAGAGTTGTGCTGCTGTTTCCCCTCTGCTCAATGGAGCGATTCATTCACGGCTGAATAAAAAAAAAGAGATGGACAGCAGAGGAGATTGGGTTTATTATCATGTGTACTCTTTTTTTCATGAAGGACCAATGTTTGAATAGGATTTCAACAAACTGCGCTCGCTCCTAATATTTAAATCCAAATCTCTCAGCAACTTCACTTTTATATTCAGCAGATGTCAACAGATGCAAATAAATTAACTCTTTTTCTTTTACCATAACTGCTGTAGGAGCATCCGGTATAAGTAGAAGTGTTGCTCAGTCAAATGTACTTAATGCTTTAAAAGTAAAAGTAATTATTGCCCAGAGTGCCTCCTGTCAGAGCCTGCAAAGTAGCCATGCTGCAAAGTAGGAGTGAACCAATGGGTTCAAAGGAAAAAAGCCACTTAAAGCTTCTACTTAACTATTTTCTAACTGACTATTATTTGATAGCTTGCAGATCTGGGAAAATAACTCAAAATATAACCAAGAAATAAATGATGTTGTATTGTTCTTGTTTGAGATCAACAACGTTTCTTAGATCCAAAGAAAGTGGTAAACTGTTATTATCCTCACTTAAAACTTGAACTAAGTCTCAGCAATGCACTTCTACAACACCATGGGCTGGTATGTGATAAATAGAGATTATGTTGAACTGTGACTCATGCAAGCTATCCAAGGAGAATCAAAGATTTCAGGATAGATAGATAGATAGATAGATAGATAGATAGATAGATAGATAGATAGATAGATAGATAGATAGATAGATAGATAGATAGATAGATAGAT